GACCAAATCTGGGGGATAGAACCTGCAACCCAGGTACCTGCCCTTGATCAGGAATTGAACCTGTGACCCTTCAGTGTGAGGGCCGACACTCTAACCACTGAGCATACCGGAAGGGAAAAAAATTAGTCAATTTTAATACACTCTTCGGTTTTTACTTTATCAATATAATGTTTTAATGTTACAGTATTTTTCTTTCTGGGAGTTCTTATCACAGGCATTTTATGAATAGGGAAACTGAGGCACAGCGTGATTGAAATGTATTGCCTCTTGGTAGGCCTTTATAAAATGGTGCCTCGATGGAAAACTCAAGAACCCCATTTTTCAAGGCAAAATTCTTTCTCCATTAGATTCCTACCCAAGTTTGAAACATTAAATCCACTCAAAGTTAATGAAATGAGGTGGCAGCTGCTGTAAAGTTTGAGTTCTTGATACCAACCACAGTGTAGGGTCTGGAGTGACAGCCAGAGTAATCATGATCCTTGACCTCTGGAAAAGGGTTTCATCCTTTACAAGCATTCCACAACCGCTGTTACACTCTGTCCTCATCCAGGACATCAACAGTGTCCCCCTCTTACAGACGAAGGTGAGGAGGCCACAACTCAGAGACATTAGCAACTTGTCGAAAATAGAGGTAGCAAAGGGCAGAAGTAGGAATGAAACTCAGGTTTTCTGAATCCAAGTTCAAAGAGAACACAGTTTAGGGAAAAGAGGCGACCAGCTTTTTGCTGGGAGACTTAGAGGAGACTGAGGGAGGTGGGAAGTAGCTGGTGCCAGTAGCACATACGCCCTTATGGCACAGAAAAGGAAACTGTCATCATTAGGCATTTCAAGTGATGACACAGAACTGCCCTGGGCACTGCAGGGATCTACAGACTGCAGCTCTGAGCTCTGAGAGCCTGCAATCTAAGACACACACACTTGGAAGAACAGAGATATACGTAACACACAAACAGTACCTGCTGCAGTAAATCAACCACAGTGATCTACCAGGAGGGTAGAGAGGAAGGCTTTTATGTCAGGTACAGGGGTGGGCAAGGGTAGGTTTACAGTTGTAAGTATGTGAAACACAGAGTTTATCCTTGTATTATTATTTACTAATTTGTAATTGTTCATGTGAACAACTGTAAGCCTACTTCTGCCAACCCCTGTATATGGCCAGGTAAGTTTGGAATGAAAAGAGGAGCGATACAGAAAAGCAAGCCAGGGAAGAAACATACACACACATCAAGCCAGGAAGGGTTTTTAAAGTAACATTAATTTTAGATGGTGTCTCTCTCTCTCTCTCTCTCTCTCTCTCTCTCTCTCTCTCTCTCTCTCTCTTAAATTTCAGAAGCAATGGAGTAGCTGTGTTGCATCAAGAGCCGAGCTGGGAGAGGGAGATTTGGAACAGAAACTTACCCTAGGCCTATGGAACAATTATAAAGATGGGGTGGAAGTGGGGCAGAGGGCAGTGTCAGTGGACAAAGAAGGCTTTGAACAAGTGGAAATTCAGGAGAGATTACAACCTGTCTTGACTCCTAGACTGTGCCTAAGTGTTTCCACCCCCAGGCTTTCAGAGAGCTCAAGCTCTCCCTATTCCAGCAACAGAAGAACCTCCGCATTGTGAAAGCCCCTGGGCAGCAGATGAAGAAGGCAAACAGTGCTGTGGTACAGGAGGTAGCGGATAGGGACCTCGGAGACAGCGGGCAAGCAGTCCCTAGCCTTCTATCCACATCTCCCCAGATACGACCATCACAGCAGCTCCTAGTGCAAAACCCGTGTATCTGGACCCACCAATCGGGAAGGAATTTCCAGTTTGCTTCATCAAACCCAAATCCGCCTGTTGAGTTTCGGGTCAGGGATTAGATCAGGCCGACGCTCTATCCACTGAGCCAAATCGGACAGGGCAGGGATTAGATTCTTAATGTAGAAATTATGTTGAGCTCTTCTGGCACAGAAACATTTCCCAGTATACCAACTCAGACTCCAGCCAGGTAGAGAGACCTGTTTGCCTCTGTTAATTGTGTTTACTCAAGTTGTCCTCTCTGACTCTAATTAGTCAGAGAAGCTGCAGCCCAGAACCGCTGGGAGACGGGAGGGAACGAATAAGAATATGCATACAGAGTCCCTATATGCTGGATTCTGGCTCTGTGCAAAACACAGGGTCCTTGGAGGGTAAGTGCTGGCTCGAACCATGACAATTTGAGCCCCGAGCCAAAGGCTAGGAACTTCAGGCTTTCAGCAGAAGAAGCTGCTCACCCGGGTTTCCACGTTGACACAAGTATTAAGACATGCCTGGGTGGTATGAAGATTTGAGGGTTTTTTAATGTAATGATTTTTAATGATCTTTTTTTTTGGCCAACATTTGTCCGTCTGCCATATTCACAACGTGCGATCCTCTGCTCTAACCGCTCTACATGTATCAACACATTCCATACAACCAGCTGAGCCGATACTATAGATATTATGCTCATCCAGATGAGAAGTTGACAGAGAGAGGTTAGGTGACTTAACCAAAGTCACACAGCTCGTTGACGAAGGCACCAGGTCCATTGGTGATAGGACCTATCACCGATGCTATTACCCTTTCTTTCTAAACGGGCAACTTTCAGCTCAGAAGGGCCCAACGTGCTGGTTAATTTATCAACAGCTAGACTCAGTGGCCAGGAGCAAACCCCAAACTGGAATTTTCCTAACAACTTACCCTGCCGTCTCCACGTGCCCGGTGGCCTGCGCGCGTTCTCGGAACAACGGTACAAGACGAAGGTGACTGCTTGGTCCCAAAGCGTTGTTCCGAGTCTCTTCAGTTCCATCTCTTCTTCTTCCCTTCTAATCTGTATTCCTTATCCTAACTCATTTAACCTTTCGTGACCCCCACTCTCCCTTCTGCCTGCCCCGGGGGTGAAACTAAGCCTGGACACCACTCCGCCCTCGGGGTCTGGGGAAGGAGATACAGCTGAGCCGCTCGGGAGCCTTGACCCCTGAGCCCGACAGGGAGACAGACATGCTTTGGACAAGTGACTCGCCATTGCTTCCGCGGGAACAGGAGGTGGCGGGAGAAGAAGGGGTAGATGTTAACTGAATGACTGAGGTGGACGCTCAAGCTGCTTCGATATGGACACAGTCACACTCCCGTGTCCGTTTCTCAGTAGCTGAGAGGGGTGCGGGGTGCAGAGAACGCCCTCTGAGTCTGGGGTCCTCTGCCCATTGCGCACACGCTCCTCCCGGCGGTCGGGGCGGCCTTCATTCCGGCGCCTCGGCCCTTCCAGGGGCCTCTGCGACTCCCCCGCTCCCGCGACCCACGGGCCGCGCCTCG